AGAAAAATTTTTAATAAAAGCTTGGACCATCTCAACAGATTGATGTTGAAATGTTTTTTTTTGTTTATTCTACAATTTCTATTATATATAATTAGTTTACAATTAATTTTAACTAGCATTGAAACACTAATGTAAATATATTAAAAATGAATTGATCAATTAAAATTATTAACTATTAATGTTTTTTATGATAATTATTATTAGTTTAGATGTCATGATTTGAAAATTTAATCAAACTCAATAATGAGTGATGTACCAAGGAAAACTTCGTTTTTTCTTATTATATCAGATAATTTTAGTGGATGGATTATTTAAACATCGCCATGATTTAATAACCATACATAACCAGCTATTAAAATGGGAAGATTGAATCTTAATAGATGCTCATATAACTATTTTTAATATCATAATCGATATTTAGAATATATTTCAAAATTTAATATCAATTAGGAAAAAAATAGTTTGATGATTGAAATAATATTGAAAAAAATATCAAATTAAAGAAATGATTCCTATTTGTTAATTATCTTTCATATATTTTCATATATAAATATAACCAGTATGATAATCCCAAGTAATTAGATATTCACCATTATCACTCAATGTTCCAAATATACTTGATGTTCTAAATTGAATGCTTTGCTATATGTAAACTTCAAATCTTATCCCTTCTCTGATTAAGCACTACTCATAATAATTTTAATAGTTTGAGCATTATTTGATAAGATAATTTACTAAACAGATAAAAAATATTCGCTACAGGGTTCATTACTATTTTGACTGAAATATCTTAGGATTTAACTTAGTCTCTTGATAGCTAATTGGAAAGAAAGATTTGAAGGTAATTTAATTTGATTTATATTGTTAAAATGCGAATATTTTATCTGAGATGTAATTTAATCTAGAACCGTTGTTTTCTACATTAATTGCTTTAATAATTAACCAGTTTTATATATTTGAACCCTTCATAATGAGGATTACATTATTATTTCAGCTGTCCACAAATATTTCAAATAGATCTTCCACTTGAAAT